ATATATATATATGGAATCCCTTTAAAGATGATTTTGGAACTGATATCAGGATGAAATATGATGAAGGAAAAGCCTATTTCAGCACTCCACCTGTTAGCAAGGAGGGCTGCTGGGCTGCTATCTAGTCCCTTGGTGGCCCTGACACTCTGGGAGGGAAGGTGGAGGCGGCGCTGAACCCCTCTCACTGCTTTTCCCCTCTTCCGGCTGACCTGTGACTTACTCTGCTCTTACAGTTGATGCTTTGGAATAAGTAGACAGTGTGTGTATATGCCACCCCATCTGTCCCACAGGCATTGCAGGGTGTGAGTGGGATGGACCATGGCCCTGTTTATATTTTGGTCTTTATGTTGGTGCTGCCAGGTCTCTGAGCTACAGAGGTGGCCTCTTGTACAGATCTACTGCTACAGGAATAAAAGACACTCTGCCTTGCCAGCAGCCACTTGTCAACAAGCCCAAAGATGTTTGTGGGGGTAGGGGGGGAGACGTTATGGAAGCCAGTAATTTCTGGTCTTGAAAAAAAAGGGAATAAGAAGTGGCTGATTGTTCTTTAAGTTGATACTTCTTTCACTCTTCTAGTGACTCACAAAGGCTAGCTAAGGACATGCTTGGGAAGGGTAGACAAATCTGCCCTGCGATGATCACAGACTAGCATCCTGTAAACCCTGCATTCCTCAGACTGACAAGTGGTGGGGGCGATGGGACCCTCAGTGTAGCTATGATGAGCAAATCCTTTATATTTTTAAAATAGATTAGTCTGGGCAGCACTCTGACCTCAGTGGTAACATATTTAGTTAGTTGCAAGGTTGGCTTATCTATTAAGTACCTAACATTTACAAGCACGCTCCCATTTGATGCAAGGGACGTAGAAGTCTGTGAAAATAGGTAGTGATTTAAATCCAGGTTATTTAATTTGGATCAGCTGAAGTGTATTTTACAGCCAAACCATCTGGCCCCTTCATTTTGCTGAGGGGAAGTAAATGTTCATTTAAGTGAAATTGAAAGAGCAATGTAATGTAAAAGAGCTCTCTGTACTATCTCCAGGCTGGCTCAAAGGTCTCTGATTTTTGGGGTCAGTTTCCCACCCTCCACCTCACGAGGGCGGGTGAATGAAAGCAGAGGAGCGGGCTTCTGTCTGCTGCAGACAGATCTGCTTCCCTGAGCACTAGTGATGTCTCCCATCAGTAAAAAAAAATCTTTAGTTCACTTTCTTAATTGTATAATTATTTATTGTAAATTATATACATGTACTACTGTACTAAAATATTATGTACATTATAAAACATACACAAAAATAGAAATTTAAAAAGATGAGATGAAAATAAATCTAAATCAGAGTTCTAATATTCTTTTCCTGCATTCTAATGGACCATCACATTCCCCCACAACCTCTGCCCCTAATATGCCCATTTTCCAGGACTGTCCAAACCCAGAGGATGGAGGACCACAGGCAAGATGCAGTAAGTGGTTTGCGCCACCGGGTGGTCCCTGCAGACTCAGGGACTTCTGGGGACTGACCCTGGATCACAGCGTTTCTTTGAGCCTTCATTTTCTCATTCAGTGAAGGTCAACAGTGCCGCACACTATGCTAGGTGCTGAGGATACTGTGGTGAGAAGAGGACTGAGCAGCTCCCTGTCCACCTGGGGCTCACAGTCTAGTGGGGAGGGGGACAGGATGTCACCATTACCATTTGGGAGCCTGGGAACGCTGGGGAGAAAACCAAAACTGACCTGGCAGAGAGAAGAAGACAGATTGGAGGAGTGGGGAAGACCACCAACTCAGGAAGTCTCCAGAATGTCCTAAGTGCTTGTGGGGGACAGGGTGGTAGTAGGGAAGCTGCTTGACAGGGCTATACCTCTTCCTGATGGGCCACTAAAGATGCCCTAAGGCATCAATTTGGGAGGCACAAGGGAAAAAGAGCCTCTCTGGCCACACGGGTTCCCAGGTCCCATTCACGCTTGGGAAATGAATGGGTGACGGATTAGGTTCTGGCCTTAGACTCTCAGTAGGTATTTTAGAATCCAGAGCAGCTAACAACGCTACCAAATCACTTGATACAATTATTTGGGGTCATGAGAAGTCCAATGGGTTCACCGAGAGGTCACTCACAATTACTGGGGTTCACAAAGAGGTCAGTGGGTTCACTGAAGTCACAGAGGTGGTTTCTGACTGAAAATTTAGAAGGTAACAGCAACTCCGAGCCCTCAGAAGGGTCATATTGACACTGAGGGCTCCGGAAAAGGCCAATAGGTTCACCAAGAGGTCATTCACGACCATTGGGGTTCACATAGAGGTCAGAAATCACATAGAGGAATTATTGGCTGTTAGAAAAGCTTAAAGCCAACAGCAAACTCAGAGCCAGCAAAGGGATTTGGATGAGATCATCAGATGGGCCCTGGGAGAGGTGATTTGCAGGTTTATGTACGATTCAGTTCTTTATTTTCCTTTGTTTTTTTTATAACAGGTACTTATCCCCCCCAGCCCCCCACAATGAACACCGTAACTTTAGTCCTTTCTTTACTTTTCCCCATCACGTCCCTTCACCCAGTTTTTGCCACTCTGCGTGATTCAAGAATGCAAGGCACAGGATACCATCATCATCATCAAATTAGCCACTAATAAGCATCATATGCCAGAAGCAATACTGGGTGCTTTATAGATAATCTCCACAGTAACCCTTTGAGGTAGGTATCGGCATCACCCTTTAACAGCTGAGGAAACAGTGGCCTAGAGAAGTCACATAGCCCGTGAGGGGCGGAGCTAGAATTTGAACTGCGCCCCTCTCAGCCTTAATGAAGCCTCTCTGTCCCTCCCATTTGTAGGTCTTCAAAGCGACCACACACATTCTGGGGGCGATCGTGCATGTGTGCACACACGTCAACCACCTGAGCTCTTTGGATAGACGACTTCCTTGTGTCCGGCTGGAACATAAGGGATCCTGGCACTGGTTTAATAAATTAATCAATGAGGGAAAAGGCTTATGCACCCTGGACCGCCATCTACCTTCTCCATGCCTTCCTCAGGGACTGCAGGTTTAAACAGGCCCTGGCTCTGAGGGGCTATAAAGTTGGGAAAAGCACAACACCCTGTGGGCTTACAAGCTGCAGCAGCTGTGGTCTTCCTGGCAGCCAAGGTACCCATTATGCCACCTTGCATGTCCAGGCTTTGCCTGTGACATGCTTGAGGCCCCAAGGGTCATCTTGCCTCAGCTGCCCCAGTGCCAATCCCACAACCCTTCCCTCCTCACCCACATAGGCCCGGAAATTGTTGCCTCAGTCCAGCCCCAGGAGCTCCAGGGTAGGAAGTGGGCCAGAGGTCTGAGGCTGAGCTCAAAGCAGAGTAATCTGCATCAGCCCCTTGGCCAGGTTCCCCAGAAGCCAGGGGGGATACCCGGTGAATAATCTTGGAGGAGGGAGGAGGGTTGGAGCCTGTCCTGGGAGCTGAAGCCAGGGAGATTAGAGGGACAGTCTCTTCCTCCCAGGGACTAGCCTGGCCCTCTCCAATCTCCACCCCAACATCCATCCATCTCCACCCAGGTCCTCATTCTCACCTGGGGGCTAGGCACACACAGTCAAACATGAGTTATTTCTGATTTTATTTATAATATAAAAATGTTCAAGTGTCAACAGTCAGGTGTTTGGACATTTCAGGGCAGGGTTCTCATTTGTTTGTTTGTTTGTTTAAACAATTACCTTTTGACAAATTAGCAGTGGACCCAGTTTTGCGGGGTGGGGAGGGAGTGGAATTCGTAGGTGGCTTGGGGTCTGGAAGGAAATGGTGTTACTTTATTGCTAAAAGGGGAATCAAATACACTGTGGAGTGGCTCTTCTCGGTCCCAGCGTGACCATGCATCCAATCTAAAGAATCTGAAATGCAAAGGACATGCAGGCATAAAATAGAAAAGACAACCTGTAAACGAAGGTGCTGCAGAGGACGGAAGGGCATCCTGGAGGCCACAGGGGAGGAGGAGCTGGAACTTTGGGGCCCTGGCAGAGCTGCCCCCTCCCTGGGGCCGGTGCTGTTGGGAAGACCTCTTAGTGCCCCCTCCCTTAGCAGCTATGAGGAGCAGGGTGGCCCCCTCCCCATTCTGGTTGCTGTCGCTGGGCCTCAAGTCTCCCCCCCCAAAAGTTACCTGACCCCAACTCTAGCTCCAAGCCTAGGATCCCCACCTTCTCCTCGCCTTCTCCTCAGGGTGTCAGGGGCCTGAAGATCTTGCCTGAGGGCAAAGCTACTCCTGTCCTCATTTTCTTCTTCAGGGCGGATCCCCTCCCAGCCCCCACCCTTGCCCCCACTAGCACCCAGCAGTCTTTTCTTTGCCGGCTTCCTCTCACCCCTGCCAGCTGGGGATCCTACAGTCCCCTCAGCCCCACCCCACCCCACAACCCAGACTTCTCTCCAGGAGCTCCAGATTAGCGTACAGCAAAAGGCACCACAATATAGGTTTCTATTAAAGAGTCAAAAAATTGGCCCATCTCTCTTTTTTTTTGTTGTTTCTTTTTTTTTTTTCCGAAGCTGTAAATCAGGATGTTACATATAAATAGTTTCCCTATAAAAACGTCTTTGCCGTTAGCTAGTATTATAAGACAATTTTTGCTAAAATGAAAATAAAACATTTTGTTATACCTTTTTCCTTTTATAGAAAATAAAAATATTTTTATTTCTTTTTTTCCTCCTTTCTCTCTCCAGGCGGTGGTCTCTGTTCTCCGTAAAGACAGTGGGGCAGGCGAGGCGGAGGGGGGCGGCGGGGCGGCGGGGGCCCCTAGAGGGGCGCCGAGTCCTGCTTGCCCCGCGGGGGGGAAACCGCAACTGTCTGCTGCTGGCCCGCGTGCTGTGGCTGTCCAGGGAGTAGTAAGTCCTGCTGTCGGCCGCCGGGCACAGCGGCGGCGAGTCCGAGCGCAGCGCATCGTGCGCCGCGCGCAGGCCGAGGAAAGGCGTACTCTCGGCCGCCAGCGCACCGTCCGCGTCGAGCCTGAGGCCGAGCCGCCACCCGAGCCGCTGCTCAGCGACAGCGAGTCCCGCGCCGCGCGTGCGCGCTGCGCCGCCAGCCCGTTGAGCTGAGGCGCGTATAGCGGCGCCAGCGTTGAATCGACGTCCTGCGGGACGCGCCGCGGGCGCGCGGCCGCGGTGGGGGAGGGGGCGCGCACTCCTGCGTGGTCTCGTACTCGTCGTCCTCCGGGATGCGGAAGGGGCTGGCGGGCAGGCTGCCCAGGCTGCCGCCCAGCGCGCAGGCCCCGCGCCGCGGCCCGGGCCCCGCCGCGGGGTAGTAGTAGCTGTCGTAGCTGCGCTGCATGTCCGCGCCGGGTCCCGGCCCGGGGCCAGGGGGCGCCGGCTGCCGCAGAAGCGGCTGCTGCTCCGCCAGGCGGTAGCTGATGGGTGCGGCCGGCGGCAGCGACACTGCGTGAGCGGAGTTGGGGGACGTGATCTCAAAAGTCGGCACCTGCGTGGCCAGCGAGTAGTGGAAGTCCACTGGAGAAAGGCGCGCGGGCGTGGTCAGTGCCGACACGTACCTGCGGAGAGATGCAGAGGCGTGGGCTGGGGGTTACGGGTTATGGGTTGCGGTGGAAGAGGTGGACCACTGGTAGTGCCTGGGATCCCGCCCGCCCGAATGATGGTGGCAGTCCTCAGTGACCTTAAGCAATTTACTTAACCTCCCCCAGGCTCGGTTTCCTTATGTGTTAAGAGGGGATAACCACAGTGCTCATTCCAGGCTGTTGTTGGAATGATTCCATAAACGTATCACATGGCATGTGCCGGTGCCACTGCCTGCCTGATGCTCCAACGTGAACGGTCCTTTTGGTGTGAGGGATGCACACAGTCACCAATATTCTTGAACTGTTACTTTGGGTCAGGCTCAGATTGGGGCATTTTACATGCACCATTTCATCTAATACGGTAATTCTGTAAGACCCTGACTTTAGTCCCATACCACACATGAGAAAACTGAGACTCCGAACATTTAAGTGACTTGCTCAAGGTTCACACAACCGGGAAGTAGTAGGGCTGGGATTTGAACCGATGCCAGGCAGAACCAGGACTTATGCTTCCCTGCTCTCCAGAGCCCTTATTACTCTCTTTCTGGATCGTCTGACTTCCCTCTCCCACATGGACATCCAGTTAACCACCATACCCCACCTCCTGGAACACACCCTTTGCCCTGCTCTACCTCGACCTGGGCCTAATTGTTCACTCTGGTTATTCCCCCACTCCAGGGTCTCTCCTCCACTGTATGCAGTTTCCAAAGCAATCTTTTAAAGTCAGTTTTGCTTAAGGAGGCCCTTCCTGCCCCAGGGCCATCAGCCATCTACCTGGCCCCAGTCTACCTGTTCAGGCCCAGCTCCATTCTCCCTACATCTCACCCTGCTCTGGGCATCTCACTCACTAGCAATGTTCTTAAGTGCCTCTGCTAGTACAGCTCAAGGTACTCCCTTGCCTGGAAAGCTCTCCCTGTCTCTCTGCCTCCCAACCAGTAAGAAGTTCTATTGCTATTGATAATGATTGATAACAACCTAGTGTAGCCAAGTAGGAGTCAGAGAGCTTTGTGCACATGATCTCTGATGGCCTTCGCAAGAACCATGCATGATAGGTATTGTTTTTCATGTTCCACAGCTGAGGAAACAAGGCACAGGTGATCAACCTGCTGCAAATCACATAGGTGGTGGAGCTGGGCTTTAAAAGGTTGGGTATGGAAAACCTGGCTGCCTCCTAGAGTCTGCAGTTAGGCTGGGTCTGTCTGTCCTGCTGGGATGTCCTGTGCTTAGCACGTTCCATAGGACGCTGTGAGTTTCAGTGGTTTGTGTCTATGGCTGGGAGCTTCTCAGTAGCAAAAACAAGATGGACCGTCTCTGGACCCCCAGGCAGGCTGCTCAGTGAGGGCTGGCAGGGAGTAGGTGAAGTTAGAGCCAGAGAACATTTCCTCTCCCTCCACTCCAGCCTGGAGTTCCCAGTACTATGCACCTTCCTCTACTCTCCTCCCACAGACCCCACTTGCTAAGGGCCACTGGAGGGCTGAGCAACGTAGAGGACTGGCCTCCTATGACTCCTGGCTTGGAGTCAGGGAAGAAGGGGAGTTTCCTGGTTCTCAGTGCAGCCACTGCTCGGAAACCCAATGGTGTCTTGATCCCTGGGCCTTGTTGCTGATACTGCCAGGGCCTGCAGTCCTTCTTGGCTCATGCCCAGCCTGCCCTGGTCATTCTCTTTGCAGACAGCCTCCCCTCCCACCCTTCAGTCTGCTCGATCTTGGTGTCTTTCTGTTCCCACTGGGACATGGGGCCTCTAGGTGACACCAGGGTAGGGCTACCATATGTTCTGGCTTGTCCAGAACAGCCACTGTTTGTTCCTGATGTTCTAGTGCAATTATAGCATCCTCTTCAACTTTGAAAAGTGTCCCAGTAGGACAATTAAATTAGATGGTCACTCCACACCAGGGTCCACTGGCTCAAACTCAGTCCCAGTCTGTCATTAACATGCACCCTGAGCAGATCATTCCCCCTTTCAGGGACCTTGCTTGCCCGTCTGAAAAATGGACATGGGAATTTTTGGAGTGTCTCTGAGGTGCCCTAAGGGTCGGCCCTGGGTCATTGGTGCCAGTCCTCTGGCCAAGGTGGGGCACAGGACACAAGATAGGAACTGACCTCTCGCTATGTGGGGAGTCACGCAGAGAGTCTACGGAGTCGTGGTAAGGTGGCACGGCAGCCCTGCGCCGCTCCTCCAGGCTGTAGGCCGCTGCCCGCCGTGCCCGGGCCTCCACACACGCTGGGCTGTTGCACTTGCTGGTGCCCACTGATGACAGCATGATGCCCGACTGGGAGTCAGAGGTCAGGCTTTCAGAACGTTCCAGGCTCCACGTGTGGCTCTCATGCCTAGAGAAGCCAGGTGGAGGTGAGGTGGGGGATCAGGAAGGGGCAGGACAGCCTAACAGGTGTGGTCCCAGGTCCCCCCGCCCCCCGGTTCTCCATTTCATTTCAGGCACCCTCAGCTCAATGCCCTTCTCCGCTCTGAGTTGACATGTAGTATGATGGAGGGAAAAGGAGGGCTAGGGTCCTGTGGATGGGTGAGCCCCAACAGGTGTAAGCCTTTTCTTTTCCTTTGTACAACCAACCTCCCCCTAGCCTCAGCCCGGGGCCCCGGGTCCACTCCCATGATCCTTAGCCTCTTATGTCAGGAGCGCAGCCCTAGTGGCCAATACATGGGGGCCCGGCCTATTCCATGCTGTTCCCCAGGGAAGAAGGAGGCCAACCATGTTATTGAGCTGTATGAACCTTTGTGCTTGGGTGAACAAAGAAAAGGAGGCTAAGGTGGACTAGGTTCGTAAAAGCAAACTCAGGAGAGAGCATCTAATAGGTCTGGGTGTTTGGATGAGGAGGCATTTTATGCCAGATAATGTGGTGCTAATGAGGTCCAACCAAAACTACGTGTTAGGCGGGAGCCCAGTGATGCTGTTGTTCCTCTGGGGCTGGTTTAGACTGGAAAAGGGAATCTGGTCCCCTGAGGATGGATGAATGTTTGGTGGTGGGTTCCGGTCTGAAGTCCTTTACCTATATCCCTTGACTCAGAGGGACCCTCAGTACAGGGCATAGCCTGGCTGGGAGGTTTCTTTGTGTGTCTCCGGGCATATGTGTTAGTGCTTTCTGTGGGTGTGCATACAGGAGTCTGCAAATCTCTGTGGGCCTGGGTGGTGCCCACCTGTGGCTGGAGGTGGGTGTGGCTGTGGAACAGTGGTGAGAAGGAGAACAGGAGTGGCTCCCAGAGAAGGTGGTCTCCGTTTCCCTCCGGATGACATGGTCTGTGGCTGGCACATTCTTGGAGATATACTGCAACAGACACAGTTGGGCGGGAGTTAGTGACGAGTGAGTGGGTCAGCCCTCCTTCCGGGTGGGGATGGGGAAGTGAAGCACTAAGCTTCAGGTTGGGGAGTGGTCCACTGGATAAGTGACTTGATGTTAGGGCAGCGGTGGCCCCAGCAAATCAACCCCTTAAGGAAGTGGGCAAAGCGAGGCCAGTCATTCTGGTGAGGCTAGGCGAGGCTAGCGGGCAAGGCTGAGCATGGGATGGGCTGGCTGCTGCCCCCGCCCTTCCTTGCAGGGCACGTGACAAAGGCTGGCAGTACAGTGAAGGGGTTCTGGTAATACCACTCACATCTGCCATCTGGATCTCCTCAGGGTCCAGCCGGGGGTGGCTGGGCCCGTTGGCCAAGCTCCGATTCTGGTGGGCTGGGCACATGTTCTGCCGGAGGTGATTGTGCATCTGCTTCCGCTGCTTTCTGTATAGGAGAAGGGTGTGTTAGCCACCCCCCCCCCCCCCATTAAGGCCACTGCATGTGCAGTTCCCAGCTGTCCTCCAGGGAACCTTCTGCCTCCCCCTCAGCCCCTGGGATGGGGCAGTCTCCTGCCACCGCCACCCCAGCCTTCCAGCTTGTTTTCAGCCAGGACCCCCTGCTGGTCTGCCTCCTCCACTATCACCACGAGCTTGAATTCAGCAGGACCTGAGCATAGTGGTTCTGAGCTTTGGCTCTGCTGAGAGAGCTTTGGCTCTACTACATCCTAGCTATGTAATCCTGGGCCAGTTACTTAAACTCTCCATGGTTCACTTTCCTCACTCTCCCGCAGTAAAGAATGTCTTATCATTCATCCCAAAGTCACCTGAGAATTAAGAGCAGATAAAATATTCAGGCACTGGCCCAAATCTGTCACCACCCCGTTCATTCATTCATTTTGCTCTTTTTCTTGGTTTTCATGTGCCAGACACATAAGCAGAAATACACGTCCTTTACTGTGGGCTGGCAGGCCAGTAGGGGAGGCAGATAATAAACACATAAACAAATTAATAAACAAGATACTTTCAGTAAAATGCAATGAGAAAAATAAAACATGGTGCTATGGTCAGGGGCCTGTGGGACTACTTTACATTGGCCATATTAAGTGCCCAACACATTTGTTCCACTCAACAAGTTCAACTACACCCCATTTAAAACCCTTCATTGGGGTGGGCTTGGGTGGCTTAGTCGGTAAATAAGTCCCACTCTGGCCTTGTGTCGATCTCATGGTTCGTGAGTTCAGATCCTGCATTGGGCTCTCTGCTGTCAGCACAAAGCCTGCCTCAGAGCCTCTGTGCTCCCCTGCTCATGCTCATGCTCTCCCTCAAAAATAAACATTAAAAACCAAAAACAACAAAACCCATCGCTGGCCCTCTCTCAGTGCCCTCTCACTGCCCTAGCTTGCTGTATCCTTGGGGGGCTTATTTCTGATCCCCCACCATGCTGCCCTCTCTACCCTTTGGACCTCTGCACATACTGTTACATCCCAATGGAGCACACTCTCTGCCTCTTCTTCACCTGCTAACTCCTGCTCTTCTCTTAGGCTCAGCCTAAATGCTGCTTCCTCAGAGAAACCCTTCTTGCCTTCCAGCCAAAGTTAGGCACCCCTGCAATGTATCTTACCACACTGGACATCTTGCTTAGAGCACTGGCCATGGGCCTGGTGCAGGGCCTGGTATCTAGCAGGCAGTGAATGAAAGTTTGCTGAAGAAATGAATGAGGTTAGAATAGGGGCTTGCTTTTCCACTAGTTCTTGACCTCATTTTTCCTACCTGGGCCCAGTCTCCTCGGGGATCCTTGAGCCCCAAATCCCAAGGCCGGCAGGGCCTTAGATCCCATAGATTGGCGTAGCAGGGGTCAAGACCACGGGACTCAGTACACTCAATGGTGGCTATGCCCAGACCTTGCTTTCTGGATAAGAATGGATGGGACAAACCTATCATTTTCTCTGCACTACATCACTCTACAATTTTCATTAGCTCCCTATCATTTACAGAATAAACCCAGGCTTCCTAGCTTGGGATTCAATGCCCTATGGTACTATCTAGGTTCCAGCTGTCTTTTTAGACTCATGCCTTTTCCTTGACCCCAGAATTACTCCCAACTAGTCTGGGCTGCTCGTGCTCTAGGAACACAGCTGACCCTTTCCCACATTTGTCTGTCAGCCTGCACTCTTGTACAGGAACTGGCAGCACCCTTTCTGCACCTTTCTTCCCCTTGCTCTAAAGTTCTGCCCCATCTTTCCTCTGCCCAGAAGTGACCCGGCCTCATCTTCTCTGGGCTCTGGCCTGGCCCGCTCCCAAGTGAGACGAGGCAGTATGTCCCAAGGTCTCTTTCTCCACTGGGAATGCAGCCTTCTTTTCTGTGCTTCCTCACTCCCAACACTGCTCCAGCACCAGCCTACTTGATAAGGCAGATGCCCCTTCACAGTGTCGTCTGAGGTACATACTAGGATCACTCCCGCTTTACAGATGAGGACTCCGAGAGATCCGTCAATTTACTCAGGGTCATGGTAAATGGGAGAGCTGAATTCAAACCCAGATCTGTCTTCTTCCAACACTCGTGCTCACAATAATTCTTGTTCATTCCTCTGGGGCCTGTCCCTCCTACCCTCTGCTCCTGCTTCTTGGCCCAGCCCTTCCTCTCCACACCAGCTGCAGAGGCCCCTGAAGGGGCAGTTGGGGTATAAGGGGGTGGCCAGGCCAGACATGGGGAGGGTGTGTGTGGGAGGGCGGGGGGTGGAGAGAGACTGTTTTCACAAAAGCAGTCCTGGAGGCCCATCCCTAGTTGGCCTACTGCAGGCCTGAGTGTCTGACACTCACTTAGTCTTGCAGTAGGCGACCACGCAGACAATGCCCACGACCAGCAGAGCCACGCAGATACCGGTGATAGTCAGGACCCTCTTCTGGTACAGCTCCTCGGCTTCTGCAGAGGCAGAAGAAGAGGATGTGAGGGGGCAGGGCAGGAGGCAGATCCAAGGGGAAAGTGGTGCAAAGAACCCACCCCCACCTGCCCCCAAAGCTTTGGGCTCCCTCCAGCTCAGGGCCTCCCAGCTCCTTTGCATCTCCTCCTTCCCTCCCTTCTGGATTGCTTTCTGTTGCCCCTAAATCCTCCCACATGTGATCTGCTCACAAGTGACTGAATTCACCTTCCCAAACCCTACACCCTGCCCAGAGCACATGAATGGAAAATGCAGGGGGTGGGGGTGGGTGGGATGGAGGTGAAATTCCAAAGGCCACAGGCGAGGGCAACCCGGCTTGGCCAGCAACCTTGCCCTGCTCCACTATGGCCTGATGGCTTCAAAGAGCCTGGATGGGTTGGGGAGAGCTGTTCTTCATGGCAGTGAACATGTAGACTCTCGGCAGAGCTGGCTTGCCATTTCTGCTTTGCTAAGAAAGGCAAGGACGTCAGACAGGACATCAGACCCAGAGGCTGGACTTAGGAGGGACGCCAGGAGCAGGGACAGAGCAGACCAGGCCCATGGAGGAGGGCATAGAGAAAAAGGCCTTGATTTGTTCCTGCACCCTGGATAGCATGTGGCCCTGGCCCATACCAGCCCTTCCCTTTGCTTTCGAGAAACCCACGAATGGCAGCATAGCCCTTGGTGCCTAGGAAAGTTCTTGTGCTCAAGGAGCAGCCGCCACCCTTTCTGAGGGGTTGAGCTAGGCTGGGTCTCAAAAAGAACCAGCCATCCCTTCCACCTCCTACTTCTTGGTGGGGCAACTCTTGCCCGTCTAGAGCAGAGAAAACCAGGAGGAAGAAAAGGAAAAAGGTGACAGCAGCAGCCTAGGCATCCCCTGCCCCCACCTGTACCTGCCAGCTGGCCCCTCCACATGGCCCCCTCCCCCCAGCACAGGGATAGGTGGAGGCTAGACCCCAGCACCGTGGTAGAGCCCTGGGAAATGTCCTGAAGTCCTTGGACTTGCAGCCCCTCCTGTGTACACCAACCAGCAAAAACTGCGAGTACAAACCCTCTAGACACACATACCTTTAGGGCTCTGGCTATCTGCACACAGATCCCTTCACAAAGATACACTCATACGTGTCTAGAGAAGTGTGTGTGCGCGTGCACACATACACACACACACACACACACACACACACACACACACACACTCATGCAGTCTTAACCCTCCACCCTGGCCCCCCATCTCTGGGCTCTGTGGTCCATATCCTGCTTCTGGTTCTCATCCCTGCCCACTCCCAGTCCTCTCCAGTGGGGCATCTGTCTCTGTCATTCCTCGGAGACCACTCTGGTCATGGCCACCAACAACTACCCACTTCCAAGTCCTGTGGTCATTTGCTTCCCTCTCGGCTCACTCCCCCTGTTGCGCCCACTCCCCCTGGATGGCTCTTCTTTCCTGGGTGTCGTCCTCTTTCACCGGCTGACCTGTTCAGTTGCTGCTTCCTACTCTTCTATGTGGCCTGCAAGGTAGAAGGGCCCAGAGCTCTCAGGCTTCTTTCCTTCCTCCACGTGCCCTCTCTCCCCTCATGATCTCACCCAGCTCAGACTTTAAATACCATCTGTATGCAGGGGACTCTCAAATTTGTATCTCCTGCTCTGACTTCTGCCTGAGCTCCAGACTGCTCTACCCAAGGGCCACGGCCAAACAGAAGTGCTGATTCCCCAGCCTCTTTCCATACCTGCTCCTGGCCCTTCCCATGTCGTCAGTGGTCGCACCACCTCCCCTACTGCTCAGGCCCTGAACTTGGCATCACTGCTGATGACTCCTTTCTCCCCGCCTGCTCTGATACCTAGTCCTTCAGCAAGTCTCAGCTCTGCCTCCCAAGTAGATTCTGGGTTTGGCCACTTCCACTGCTTCTAGCTCAGTCCAGGATGGTGTTATCTCTCACCTGGATAGCAGGTCACCTTCTGACAGGCTTCCTTGCTTCCACTGCTCCCCAGCCTGTCTCCCAACCCAGTCTATTCTCTGCCCCCAAGCCTGCAGATCGTTTACTCCTTGGCTTCAAACTCACAATGGCCGCCCCCTGCGATTCGAATACAACCCAAAGACCTGCCATGGCCTAGGAGGCCTGGGTTACCATCTCAGCCCTCCTTTTACATCTCGTCATTGGTTCAGTCCCCATGTCTTCTGTGACCAAAGTCGCTGCCATTCCTTCTGTCCACTGAGCAAGGCAAGCCCACTCCAACCACACCCTCCCTAACTTGCCTCCAACACCCTCCTCCAGTTGTTTGCAGGGCTGGCTACTTTTTATCAGGTTTTAGCGCAGATGCTACCTCATCGCATCAGCCTTTCCTGGCCACTTAGCTAAAGTAACTCTGTCTCCAGCTTGGCACCCTGCCATCACCTTCTTTTATTTTCAGTAGGGCACTTACCACCACCTGCTATCTTTCCTGTTTGTTGCGTGTCTCATACTGTGAATTTGAATGCCAGGAAGGCAGGGACTCTGCATGCCAGATCACCAGAGTTGGCAAATTCTGGGGTTCAGTAGATGTCTGTCGAGTTGGTGCACGAATGGACATACAGACCGCCATTACAGACACAGGCATTTATTCGCACACGTGCACACTCACCTCCGCACCCCCCCAGTTCCACCTGCACAGCACTCAGCCCTCAACGCAAAGACGCCCTGCTGTGTGCCTCTGTGCACTCACATCCTGCACAGAGAGACCTAACAAGGTGTGTGACGTCCCCCCCCCCAACAACACACACACCCCTGCAGGTTCGTGTCGTGCACCGTCACACGCAGACTCACCCCTCTCCTCCCGTCCCATCACCAGCAGCACATAGACACACACGCTTCCACAGGCTTTTAGCTCTATCTTCTGAGGAGAGCTGATAGGGGCTGGGTGGTGAGGGAAGCGGGGCCTCTCCAGACCTGCCTCAAGAACAGCCTTTTCAGAACTGCAGGCTCTGCACCGCCTCTGAGGTCTGACCCCATTGAAGCCTTGACCCCTCCGAGTCCCTGCATCTCTCCATTTAAGCCTGGGTGGAGCCTCCCAGCTCAGAGAGAGGACAGAACGCTGCCTCCAAGTCCCTTTCCATTCATTGTGTCTCCCAGGGGCCAGAGGGAAGAAGTGGGAGGGAGGTAAGGTTCTGAGCTGCGGGGGGGGCAGGAGGGTGAGCACCGGAGGCCGGCTCACCCTTGACCCTTGCTCGTCTGGCCCACAGGCGAACACGCATACCATTGTGGAGACGGATCATGAAGGGAATGACAGCCTCAAGCAGATGGCAAAGCCTGGCAGACAGACACGGGGCAGGGGGCAGAGACAAATGGGCATTATTAGCTGCCAGCGTGGTGCAGAATGAAAAGCAGTGGAGATGGAAGTGGGAAAAGGAAGGAGAATTAAAGTCAAATTAAAGAGGGTGCCTCTCTGCACAACTCTCCAAGCCAGGATTTCATGGCTTCCGGACACCAGCTCTCCAGGGGCCTGTCTCTTGTCTGGCCAACCCTTTGGGCATCAGCTTGGGAAGCTCCTCCCCCAGTGAGGCCTCAGGCGAGGGGGCCCCGCTGTACACTGGGGGCACCTATTCTGCCCTTCTCTTGTCTCCCCCAAATCAACGTAGTTTATGATGGGACATCTTGGGAGGGCCAGGGGAGATTTTTGGAATCATCCCTTTTCCGTTTTTTGGAAAGGAAACCAGCACACATGGTGTCAGAGGTTGTGGAGAGGGCTGGGGTGGATGGCACTGACTGACACATAGAGCTTCGTACCCTTTAGTTCAAATCCAAGATGCTCTGGCAGTGCAGAAGAGAGCAGGGTCAGAGAGGGGAGGGGATGGAGGGAGAGATACAGAGAGAGATTGGGGAGTGGGGAGGGCAGGAGAGAGAGAGAGAGAGAGAGAGAGAGAGAGAGAAACGTTGGTCAGGATTCTTCAGACACCAGCAGCCAGCCTGTGAGGTGAAAGCAGGTTAGTGGTGTCCCCTCCCGGCCTCCTGAACCCCTGCCCTGGCACCCAGTCCCCAGGAGCCCTGAGGGGGGTGGAAAGAGGAAATGTTAGGATCAGCAGGCAGGGCAGGTTCTTTAGAGATGAGCTGTGGGGTTAGTACCTGATGGGGAGGCGGAGGCGCAAGAGTCAGTCGGCAGATGTCCCCAGGGAGGAAAGGTGAGTGGGGGTGGGGGTCTGAGGAGTCCTGTTTCCCCCTGCCCCCAGCTCCAGGGCCAGGCCTTCCACACTCCCACGCCCCTCCTGGAGACCGCCTGCTCGGCCCTGAGCTCGTTCACCGGGCCCTTTTTTCTGTTCAGAACGAGGGCATGGGGTGCCCAGACTGGTCCTTGTCCCTGTCCTGCCTCCAAAGGCCCGTCTCCTGGGAGCCTGGGCATGAAGACTCCTGAGTTTGTGGGGACAGGAGGAGGCTCCAGCCAGCAGGTCACTTGCCACATCTTGACACTTCCAACACCTTAGATGCCTACAGGGCCTAGGCCTTGGGGTCGGGTCCTGATTTCACCACTTAGAAAAGCAAACTGCAACTTCTAGGAAGAGACAGGTGGGTTCACCTGTGGAACACGCGTGTCAGACGGTGAGCCAGTCGCACTCTGAAGTCGATCGTGTTGTACAGGTGCGCTTTCAGAGCCCTGTGAGGTGGGCGCCCACGCCATCGAGATCAAAGGGCCCAAGGGTCAGCCCTGCCCCAGACCCACTGTGTCTCCAAGTGTACCAGGCCTATCCACCTCTTAGAGTCTTCTCTGTTCACATTGGAGCTCTGGGAACTCTGCTACCCGGCCGTACCTCAGAATCATCCAGACCGATGGGATCAGGCTGTGGGGTGGCAGCCCAGAAATCTCAACAGTGTTTCTGAAAAGCTCACCTACCATTCTACTGTAGCCAGCGCCTGTCTGCAGGCTCTGAGTTTCAGTTTTGTCCCTAATTTGCTGTGTGCACGTGGGCAAGTCTAGTCTCTGTTTCCTCATCTGTCAAAAGTGTCTATATGCAGTGAGAGGAAGACATGAGAGGCCTGGACAGCGGGAGGCTCAGTGTGTATGAAGGGGCCCAGTCCGTGGCCTCCCCACATGCACAGTCAGCGCCACGACATCCGGGGAGGGGGTGAACTTGTGTTCTGATGTTCTCGTCTCTTGTAGGGGAAGGAGAGCATGGGGGCCATCAGCTGGAAGTCCTTTTCTGTTCCTGCTGATTGAGTCTCTGGGCCTGAATGGTTTAGTCATGAGAACTGACCACCTGGAGTAGCGAGCTGGGTCCCAAAGCCTTTGACGAGTTTTCTTCTGCTTCCCTGCTCTGGGAACCAAGTAATAGCGGCGGCAGCAGCTTCTGGGCCTCTTAACTGACCTCCCCTTTCAGTTGAAGGCCAGTACGGTTTTGGGTGGGTCAGCGGTGGCTGACAGGACTGGTGATGTCACTGCCGGGAAGGCAGCCCTGCTTTCCTCTCACAGGGGATGGATTCTGAAGGGACGGTGGCTATGTCTGCCCCTGTCAAAGATGCCCCCCAGTCATCATGTTCATAGGCTGCCACTCAGCCAGGACAGAGTGGCACCATTGAGTCACAGGTCCTATTGGGCAGACATTTGCATATTGACCAGTAACCATGGCAACCCGATGCTGGACTCCCAGCAGGGCCAGGTTTACCAGATGATACACAAAGTCTTCATCCTGGACACATCTTATGACACACAGTTACAGGGGCCTGGCCGGGGAGGCCAGGACACGGGCCCCTGATGAGAGCACGTGCTCATGTGTTTGTGCGTGTGAGTGTAGGCGTGTGCTTGTGTGTTTGAGCACGTGTCAGTAGGTGCTTACGTGTGTGTGTGTGTGTATGTAGGTACATGTGTGTGTTCTTTCACTTGGGGGGTATACCGATGTGCAGGTTTTGACTCTCAGGAAATGGAGTGGCTGTCAGGGGAAGAAGGAATGCAATTGTGGCCATAGGCTCTGTTTCCATGGACTCTGCAAAAGGTAATCTGGTCTAGAGGCTGTCTGGGCAGAGGGAGAAAGGCAGACCCCTTGCTCAGGGCTTGCTGGGAGTCAGCCACCAGGGTACTGGTGGGGGACCTCCTGCCTCCTACCCCATACCAGCTGTAGCCGCAAGAGGTACTCAGCTGCTCTCCATCAACAGCGGCCGGCTCTCTGCTAAGCCTTCGTAGGGAGCACTGCACTCCCATCCTCGACGGCAACCCTCGAGGTGTAAATGTTACTACCCCCATTTTAGAGATGAGAAAACAAACTCGGAGAGGTTAAATGAGGCCCCAGAACTAGTGAGCTCAGCAGCTGGCATTTTTATTCAGATCTATCTGAATCCAAAGCCTGAACACTTAAAGGTAGCATTTTCTGCTACCTTTTCAATAATTATCTGATGCCATAAGTGCCGTAAGTGCTCTGGGCAAAGTGCTTGAAGACTAGAAATCCTTCATGCAAAGGTAACAGCAATGATCCTGATGACACTAGGCAGAAAGGCCTGTGGCAGCATTTCTAGACTTTTTCTGGGCTCCTGAGGCCCTGCTGACCCTTCAAGCAGCTCTGAGCTGAAAGCTGAAGCGGCCCAGCTGGCAGAGAAGCTTGGCCAATGGCCAAGTTCTGGAGGCTCTGCTCCTCTGATTCGGGACGGGCTGGGATTCCCTGTCCAGAACAGTCCCGTAAGCCAGGGAGGCTCTGGACCTAAGGGTGAATAGGAATAGGTCCTCCATTGCCTCTTTCCCCTGGTCCTTAGCCTTGGCCTGGCTGCTCTGTTCCCTCCTGAGGCCCCTCCTGACCTATGGTCTTCCATAGGTTGGGCTGGGTCTGACTCTGCAATTCTTCCTGGAGCCTGGGCTCTGGAGAATTCTGGACCACATGCCCTGCCCACAGCTCTCCTCTTATCCCCATAGCCTTCCTCCCTGGCCTTCAGCCGGAGGGGCCTGGGGGGAGTGCTGCCTCCCACACACTGTGAAGACAGTTGACTGTCTGGGCTGACCAGCCCCCACCTCCCTGCGGCCTCTACTTTCCTCTTTAAGTCATGGCTTCCAAGCTCTAGCAGGGAGAAGGAGGTGATGATTTCTAGGCTTTTGTGCTGTGGCCTAAGGAGGACTGGGTAGACTTGTTTCTCTACCCTGAAACCCAAAGTCAAAAACCACTTTTCTCCAAAGGGCTACCTAAATGACCCTCTGGGTCCTGCTCTAGGCCTCTCCTGGAGCTCTGCCTCTCACCCAGGCACCATCACTTTGGTTCCTAATTCTTCATGGGATACAGCTGTCCTAGGAGAGGAGGAGGTGGGGTGGGCTGAGCAAGGGCCTAGTATGTTCTGAAGGATGGGTGACAGTGTCCTGCCTTGCAGGCCAAGAGACTGGTGGGCCCCAGATGGAGTCCATAGCTGGCCGGGGGCTTTTTGCTCTGCTATGCCTCCACCTGGTGATGCTTGAAGAAATTGTTCCCAGCCTCAAATAAAACACTCTATAATTAGGGTCTCATCTTTCTGCTGCAGGGCTCACATTTTTTTTTTTTTTTTTTTCCCAGCTAACTAGGCAAACCAGAAAGCTCCAGCCTCACAAGTGGAAGAAAGGAAGGGAATGGAGTCCTGGATGGGGACTCAGACCAGAGAGGGCCTGGAGAGAATCACCAATCATCCCTTGAATCCTCATTTCCTCTTTTAGTAGGCAGCAAACCCCCATCCCACCCTATCCTTGAGCCGCATAAATGTCTCTGGCCTCTGGCCTCTGTGGAAACCAGTGCCCTGGGGCTTGTTCTCCCTCAGCATCCCCTTCCCCACTCTCCCCCATCGCCCCAAGTCAAATAAAACAAACTCTGGCCAGACCCAAAGACAGGCTGAGAACTTGTTTGTCTCTCGCAAACGCACCAGCACACACGTGCATACACTCATTGCCTGGCCCCATCAGCACCTGACATCCTCAACAGGCTTTAAAAGGCAGGCGAGGGCCCCGCTCATGCTTCCCCATTGCTGGCCAGGCTGTCCGCTCTCGGAAGTGGTGCGGAGGCCTGAGCGCAGCCCCCCACGCTTACAGAGAGAATCCGGGGCTGTTACAGTGCCCAGCCAAGAGTCGGGACGGGGTGGGGGGTGGCAGGGGGGCAAATCCGTCTCCTCCGAACAGGCTTCTAGTTAGCACTGACGACTGAGAGGAGCCCAGGACACTACCACTCCCTACCCCCCTCCCTTCCCCCGCGGCTCCCTCTAGTCTCTCTAGGCAAGGCCCGGTCCCTCTCGCGTGGGGAGATTGTCAGTCACCAGGGAGGAAAAGAAATAGAAGAAAGAGACATACTGGAGAAGTTGACCATTGCGAACTGCTGACACCTGTCCCCGGTGTATCCCACAGGGCACCTACCAAAAGAAAGAAAACCAGAAAGAGAGAGCCAGGATAGCAAGACACAGGCATTGCAACACCCCGGCACGGGCTCCTGCCGATGCCAGCTGGGTTCCTTGCCACCGTTACCGCTTGTACTGGCCTTGCCACTCTGCCCCTTACCTGCAGCCCTGAACTTTAAACCCAAGGATTAGGCCAAAAAATGAAAAACAAAGCAAAACAAAAGAACAAACCAAAATACAAAAAAAGAAAAGAGAAAACAAAACAGCCAAAGATCAAAACAACCAACACCCCTGGCCCTATGCCCTACATTGGGGGGACTGCACCCGGAAGCTTTCTAAGGAGCAGGGACTTGTGTTTGTATCTTCAAACATACTTTGCTTAGGATCTGGCATGTACAATCGCAAAGGCAGTTTCTCCAAACATCTCTGTCCGAAGAATCCGTTTGGACATCTGGAGAAGGAAAAGGGGAAAAATCACAGAACAAACTGGCATCATCCGCGAGGCTCAGGTTAGAAATCAAAGTGCACAGTGATGAATGAGAAAACCAAGTCGGGCGCTGGGGCACACTCGTAGCTGCAGGGGCTGGAGTCAGGGCTGGGGGGAGGGCTCAGAAATCTTCAAAATCTCTCTATCCGGTGTTGCTCCGTGGGTGGTGGGGGGCAGGGGTGGGGCGGAGAGGAGGATGACTGAGGGAAGCGGGTGGGGAAATTGGGAACCTAATGCCCAATTGTCCTGCGGGTGTGGAGACTTCCCTTCTGACCTGCCTGGGGTCCCATGAAGCCAGAAAGGTAGCCCCTGGTGCCAGGCAGTCAGGTAGGATGCCGGGAGCCTTCCAGAATACCAAGTTCTGGGAAGCCATTCCTTCCAGGCCCTACCAAAGGGTTCTCTCCAGGGCCCTGGGCAGGTTTTCTCATCCATGAAACAGCCCCCAGAAAGCTCAAAGGAGAACTCCGGAATGCTGTTCCCAGACTGTGTGCCCATGACAAAGGTGACCTTGGAGGTGTTTCATCTGTTCTCTCAAAGAGGGTTCTGTGGCCAAATAAATTTAGGAAATCCATTCCCAGACTTCCTTAGAGAGTTGCAGTGCACGCTGGCATATGAAAGGCTAGGAAAAGTTTTGTAGGAGGAAAGAGCTTGAATATTCCAGTATGTTCCCAATTTATTTGACCAAGGAAGACGTTTTTTGAGGAACCCTTGTTAACATGGTTTGGGGAAGGCTGCCCTAGAGCAATACACAGGGGGGGAAAAGGCTTAGTGGGGAACAAGGTGAGGCTGGGGAGGAGCCGGAATTACCAACGTCTCACAGCTGGCCTGCCAAGGCCAGGTGCAGGCTATCTACCCTCAGGTGGCAAGAACCACAATCGGGGATGGGGAGGGCTAAAGCAGGCTCCCTGAGAACCCTGAAGCTTCTTCCAGTTAGGGGTCTACTGGCTGCCTGGACGCCTGTCTTTTCCCCATGACCTGCTCCTCCGTCACTGCCTGGCTCTGGTGGGACCGCATTCTCCCATGTTGTCTCCTCTGTAGCTACAGAGCACCACCCACTCTCCCTGACCTTGTCCTTACCCCCAGGTACACTTTCTTCTGCTCTCTGGCTGCCCCTCTCCTCTCAAGTGAGTCCCTGTCTTGCAGACTTCTGGGAGACATGCCCTGCCCTGTACTCTCCTCTGAACCCAGCAAGGCCAGATACCTAAGGGAAGCTTAAAGACAGGGCCAGACTGACAACCACCCCCCCATTCCCCTACTCGAAGATGGGTTTTGGCTGCTTCTGCCTCTTGGGGAAATTAGGTAACCCCATCACGGATGTTTCCTCAGTAATAGATCACTGTGCAACATTAATCAGTAAACCTTCTCAAGAGGTGAGAGTACTCTACCTCTTAGCATTCTCGTGTAAACCAACCATCAGCGACCTCTTGAGCTTATAGGGGGTGGCTCCCATTGGCTATGATAGACCCTCGGGGAAATCCTGTTGACTCCAATCTAGCTGGGGGGTGGGGAGTGGCTGGTGAGCAGACAGCTGGAGTTTCTCTGGGCCTTGATGGCATCTCCCTCAGGGGAGGCAGGAGGCTGGTCCCTGCAGTGTTGGCAGTGTGCGGAGGTATGCCTAGCCAGTGGGTAGGGGTGGAGGACTGGGAAGTGTGTCTGAAGAAAGTGGAGGGGGAGTGGTTACAAGGGAAACTGATGCACGTTCATCCTGTTGAACAGGGTGGCTCCCGGGAGGAGGGAGAGGAGGAGGAGGAGGAGGCAGCGGCTGCTAACCCTTAATATATCCTTCTCTGACCTAAGCGTCCCGTCCCAGGAAAATGGAAGTAGGGCCTAAGGCTTTCCAACCAGCTCCAGTCAGGCTCAGCTCTCCTTTCTCAGCTCTCAGAGACTGATATCCACTTGGGGTGGGGACTAGAGGGGAGAATAAAGCAGCAGCACCTTTGGGGGTGGAGGATAAAGACCCAGGAAATTGCCAAAATGATTTTTGGAATCCTCAAAGGAATAAGAAAGAGATACATTTGACAGTGTCCACTGTCTAAGACTAGCCCAGCTCGTGTGTGTGTGTGTGTGTGTGTGTATTTGTGTTTAAGAGAGAGAATGGGGTAGTGCAGGGGCAGGAGGGGCAAAGGGAAAATTTATCTCTTTGCTGATAGTCAAGGGATGCTGTCCCATGGCTCTTGGGAGACTGATGATAACTAACCACATCCCTGAGTCCCTGATCCCACACCCAGCCTGGACTGCCCCAACTGCCTCCTCAGATCTTTCATGACTACTGAGTTGTACAACCCCAGGTGGCACCACAGACACGGTCTATAACGTGAATGTGCCCCCCTGGAGTTATGTAACACGGTCCTAATCTTCCTGCCCTGGGACATGTGTTCCCCACTGGCTGAATAAAAGAAAAGGCGATGGGGGATGGGCATAGCACAGGGGTTGGGGACTGGCTCCCCATACTGTTCTTTGGGCATTAGATCCTTCCAGGAGGCTCCGGGGCTCTCCTTATCCCTGCTTGTTGAAAATGAGCCACATCCCGGAGCCTGAGGCTTCCCTAGAGAAGATTCTGGGAGTGGGCCTACAGCCTTGCTACCCTGCACTCAGGACCATGTAACAGGGTACGGGCTACACAAACCCGTCCACCACGAGTGGGGTCTGACTCAGTGTGGATGGCTGGCCGGTAGTGGGTTCCCACTGAAAGAGGGATTGGCGCTCTGAGTTTCAGCAGCACAGGGGACAGATTAAAAGGAGTGGCAGGTCATAGCTTTCTCAGCCCTCCCCCACATCATGAGCTATGACTATGGGAAGATCTGTGCCCAGGGCTGGAGAAGAGCAGGGTGAGACGGGGGCAGAGAGGAGAGCCCATGGGCTGTATCTGGGGTGACAGGTTGGAACTCTGCCTCCCCGTTTTCCCACCCACCTCCCGGGCCTCAGTTTCTCCTTTTGGTAGCCTGGGGATAATGCCATGTGTGCTGCCCTCACCCGAGGGAGGGGGAGGATGAAGGATGAGGGTGTGCCCCGGGGCACTGGAGGGGGTGAAGGGTCTCTGGCCTCATGAGGG